AAAGTTCTTTACCACGATACAGATTCCGTCATATATGTTTCTCGGCCTGGAGAATATGAAGTACCTTTAGGTAGTTTTCTGGGTGAAATGACCGACGAATTGGAGAGGGTAGCTATATTACAGACTTTGTCTCTGGTGGCCCAAAATTATACGCGTACCGTGTCTATTCTACAGCAAAAAATAAAACGCTGGACCTAATAAAAGTAAAAGGAATCACCTTAAATTATAATACGAGCGAACTAGTAAACTTTGAAAAACTAAGAGACATGGTACTTAATGAAGCCCCTAACGAATATATTTCAACTAAAAATATCTTAAGAAATACTGATCATACTGTTGTTACCAAAGAAGTAACAAAGGTCTTTCGTACTAATTTTACCAAACGAAAACGTATTGATAATTACGATTCTGTACCTTACGGTTATAAAAAACAAAAATTTGAATCATTTGCTAAATAATTAAAAACTAAATCTTTTTAAAGTTATTTTCTTCCTTCGATTCCTATCCTTAAGATCAAAAAGTAAGTAGTTATGTAAACTATAGAGAGATTTTAAAGAGGCAATAGTTGAAAAAACAATAAAAAATACAAATATAAAAACAAAAAAACAAAAAAATATCAAAAGACCCAAATAAAAAGGACCCATGTTTAACTTAACTGAAAAAAGGCAAATATAAAAAATATTAATAAAAAACAATATAAAAGAGGCAAAACAATACAAAAAAGACCCATATACGAAAATTACGATTTAAAAAATATCAAAAGACCCATATACAAAAAAAGACCCATATGTAACAACCTAAAAGAGGCAAATATAAAAAATATTAATAAAAAAACAATATAAAAGAGGCAAAACAATACAAAAAAGACTCATATACGAAAATTACAATTTAAAAAATATCAAAAGACCCATGTTTAACTTAACTTAAAAGAGGCAAATATAAAAAATATTAATAAAAAAAACAATATAAAAGAGGCAAAACAATACTAAAATTACGATTTAAAAAAAAAAATATTAAAAGACCCATATACAAAAACGACCCATGTGTAACAAAAGAGACAAATATAAAAATTATTTATAATAAAAATAAAAAAACAATATAAAAGAGGCAAAATAACAATATTAAAATGTAAGAGACAATTTATCGTGACAAAACGTAAAGTTATTGTTGTCAAATAAAACCTATAGAAATATTTTTTTAGTTTACAAAACTATGTTATTATGACTGTCCCTATCTTTCCTGGCCAAAGTGAAAATGTATAAACTTGTTATTAAATAATAAATCGTTATAAAAACAATATCGAAATAGGTATGTGGAAGATTAAAATAAAAACCTTTAAAATTTGTGATTATGGTGATAGCAGTATCTGACCTTACAATAAATTTATACGGTAATAATCCTATATTTTTATTATTAGTTTCCAAGTTTAAGATCATACGATTTATTAGCTCTTATCAAATAACAACAACTACGATAATTACATATTAGGCCATATTTTATCAAATTAAGTGTCGTTTGATTTTGTTTAAATAAAACAATAAAAAGTTTAAATAATCTAAGATTTTAAGTTTAGACATTATTAGCGCATATGCCAAAAGTCCCTGTATTTTACCAAAAAACCCCATCCTTTTTACCCCATCCCATCCTGACAAGCTATTGTTACAACCTTCACGTTGGTGCTTGTTGTTAAAAGTATTTTTGTTCTTTAATAAACAATTTTACTTAACCAATAGTAACAAAGTCCTAAATATGTTTTATAAACAAGTATTGCCTATTACTTATGGTGTTAAATTTCTGCAAATAGGTATTTTTGAATAATCTTGTATGGTAATTTATTACAAATTCTTAAAAATATGTTATTTTTTATAAAATTTTGTGAACAGCGTTTATTATGGTATTATGTAATTTTGTCGTAAATTGTTTATATTGTGATTAATTTTTAGTCACAATTTAGAATGAAAAAACCCCGAAATTTTCAACATCTGATATATTTGTTCTTTCGAATTCTATTATGATATCTATTGAATAAATCTTATGGTATTTTGTCGTAACTTTGTTGTATATTGGGATTAATTTTTATTTGCAATTTAGATTAAAAAGTCCGTGAATTTAACAACTGTTTCAATATCTGACATGTTTGTTCTTTAGAACTAGTGACCTTCAATTACGATATCTATTGAATAAATCTTAATTAGATAATCTGATAAAAATATAATATTTTAGAAAAACGATGTTTTCTAGTTTCACTAATAAAATTATTGATTATTATTATTATTATTATTATTATTTTTATTTAAATTTACATATTTACTTTTTTTGTTTCATACCAAAAATACCAGTTATATACAACTAACAAATAAGCGTTTTTATTTTAAATGTATATTTTTGCAATCTTTAGGTGCTGCTGCAGACAATAATTAACTTCACCGATCATAATAACATTAACCTTAGGGCTTTAAAACATTTAAATAATTATAATATCCTTAAACTTAAACACCTAAGTTGCAAACCCTCCAAACTCTGAACTTTTTATTAATTAATAAAAATAGTTTAAACCTTTGACCCTTCTTACATCCAAAACTCTAAAATTTAGAATGTTTCCCATTCAGGGGTAAGATATGTAAGCTGATTGATAAGCTGAGGAGGATGCGCAATGTGTCGATGATGCCTAAGTACCAATGAGGGGCAACCCCATTGGTTATAATTTTATTTTTTGAAATTTTTAAGTGCTGCTGTAGACAGTAATTAACTTCACCAATCGATAAGTATAAAATATAATTTAACAACTGTTTTAATATCTGACATATGGTTGTTCTTTAGGATTAGTGATCTTCAATTCTGATATCTGTTGAATAAATTTTAATTAGAAACATATTTACTTTTTTACTGCTACATATCAGAAATAATAGCTATACAGCTAATTGATAAAAGCGTTTTTATTTAAAATATCTACATTATTTCCTTTGCGATTTAAGGAATAAGATTTAATTATAGACAAGAAATATTTAGACGAAGACACCTAACATAGACATGTTAGTTTACTTTTGTATGCTGGCTAAAGAAAGAACCAATAGATCTTTAACAACTGTTATAGTTATGAAGCACTTAGTATTATTTGATTTTTTGAAATTTTTAAGTGCTTCTGCAGACAGTAATTAACTTCAATCGATAAGTATGACATCTGCATTATCGATAATAATAACATTAACCTTAGGGTTTTAAAACATTTAAATACTCATAATATCCTTAAACTTAAACATCTAAGTTGCAAACCCTCCAAACTCTATATAATAATACTTATAATATACTTATAATATCCTTAAACTTAAACATCTAAGTTGCAAACCCTCCAAACTCTATATTTAAAAATAGTTTTAACCTTTGACCCTTCTTACATCTAAAATACATTCATTATTAAAAGATTTAACCTTCTTGTCTTACATCCTTACAACCTGTTAATTACACCACTCCCCCCCCCCTTGTTTGAATCTGACCAATAATAGTGGCCCTTCAGCGTTAATAAAGATTTAATTCCCCCACTCCCCCGTTTAAATTCGACTAATAGTAATTACATGCTTAGGTCCTCGATTGCGCATGATTTTTCTTTTCAACCTTAATCTTTTAATATTTGAAAATCTCTTACACCTAACATCCATTAATATATCAAACTTAATCAATCCTACACCTATGATGCTCAATGTCTAGGCCGGATGTAGCGGCCGGCGGCGCCTGTATTCCGTGTATTGCGGGTTGCCTTGGAATTAGACCGTGTATTGCGGGTTGCGGTGTGTCCAGGTGCGGTCTCGAGTAGCCCTACTTCTACTATCGTAGTTGGATTTTTCGGTTCCTTTGTCATAACTTCGCGCGTTACAGTTTGGAATACGTATCCCTCGTATATACATGCAATTGTTAAAATTATGAATGAATGCGGATTTTGTTTAGTCTCGGAAGTAATTTTGTAGTATTTAAGCTCCACCCTTGAGTTGTAATTTTTATACCTACTAAACTACCGTTGCCCCGCAGGTCTTTCAGTTTGTAATGTAAATTTTCCTCTTAATTACACAATGTTTTTGGAAAAAAAAACAAAAAAAAATGTTCATTTGTATAAAATATTTTAGAATGCACTGTAAATTGTTAACAACAATATCTGAATATACTTTGTTGTAAACGACGTGCTCGAAGAGCACGTCGCAATCTACCATAGAATGTGTCCAAAAAAATGTATTAACAAGAAAAGTTTGAATATTTTTCAAAAAAACTTTTATCATGTATGTATATAAATTTTTTTTTTTTTTTGGACACGCTACAATAGATTGCGACGTGCTCTTCGAGCACGTCGTTAATAGCAATTTCTGAATACACATTATGGTTAACGACGTGCTCAAAGAACACGATGCAAATTACTATACAGTGCATCTCAAACGATACAATTACAGAATATCTTAAAAATGTTCCTTTATTAAACCTTATTAAACTATCAACTGATGGAAATATACCGAAAGATTTTTTGCAAAAATTATATAAAAAATTAAAATTAAAATGTGGTTTTTCGTCATACTCTTTTTCTCTCTTTCTCTTTAAGTACAAATTATTTAAGAGATCAAGTAACATCTTTGAGTTAGAACTTCCATTGTTGTATCACTTAAATACGTTTGTGTAATTCCCCGGATTGAAATTTTTACGTGTGTAATTCCCTGAATTGAAATATTCGTTTGATAGTTCTCTTTTTCTATTTTGGACATTTCTTTCTCAAAGATAGTTATGAAAATGTATCATAAATGTAATAATAATAATAAATATATTCTGTACATTAGTGGAAGTTACTTATTATTTTCAATATTTTAAAGTATTTTTTCTATTTTTTCTCGTTTTTTCTCGTTTTTTTTTTTCATAATATAAAAAAAATGGGTTTTTATTATTACATTTAATATTTCCACAAGCAGCACAATGTTTATTTATATATACTAATAATAAGAAATTAAAAATAATGAAATCCTCACCCAAATTTTTTTCAAAAAATATTCACTCATAAAACCATTGCTAAAGTTTGGTTTTGTTTTGTATTTTATAATAGGAAAATGTTGTTAAATAGATTAGATAAGTACTTATCTGAAAAAATAATTGATTAGCAAAGATAATCATTATTAATTTTGTGTGATACACAGGATGTTCCCGGATGGAAAGACAAGAAAAACTTACCCGAATCATTTAAAGCAGCAAATTTTTTTTAGTGTTTATTTTTTGTTTCATTTATTAATTTTTATTTCAGGAAAGCCCGACGCCTCAAGGATCTCCTCAGGGATCCCCCAACCAAAATGCTACCAACCCTGCACCGAATAAACCTGAACCCACTCAGCTGCCTCCAGCTTCTATACTTAAACCCAATGCTACGACCAATAACGTGCACGTCCAGCACCAACAACAACAGCAACAGCAGCAACAACAACATCACCAACTACAGCAGCATCAGCATCAACTGCAGCAGCAGCAGCAGCAGCAGCAACAGCATCAGCAACAACAACTGCAACAAGGTCAACCATCACCGCCCGAAATTGTAAATGTGCCACCGCCGCCAGAAAGAGGTTCCAGCTTTGCCGTTATGTCAATGCGAGCGAAAGAGTCTACTAAAAGGGTGTCATTCAACGATGCTTCGGCCAATACGACGCCTGTTCAACCTCCGACCAGTTTAATGATCGAAGAAACCATAAGGGAAGATCCCAACGTAAGTTTTTTCTGTCCGTCCTTTTAGACGTATAATTTAGATAGACTGCTATTCTTGTTGCTTTAACTGCTTCTCCTCTAACCTCTTCTTCAAGACCACCATGCCAATATATTTAAATTTCTTTTCTCAATGGATTGGTTTATATCGAATCGTTTTCCGTTTCCAGAGCTTCATTCGCCAAGCTGAATCCATGTTGGCATCCCCCACGACGCCCACGGACGCCTCCCCGGGAACTTCGACCGCTACCCCAGGGGTAATAGGAGCTCAAGAAGTGTACAGAGACCCGAGGGCGCGCCGATTGGCCGCGCAGGCGCAGCTCAAAGACCAAAACTTGATCGCCGCCGTGCCGGAAAAGCTGTCGTTCAAAGAAAAAATGAAAATGTTCGCCATGGAGACCGGCGAACAGGAAACGCCGAAGGACAAGAGCAAAATTAGCAGAGCGCAGAGAGACATTGACAGTTTAGGATCGCCGAATTTGGTTCATTAGAGATTTTGTTCGATTAATAAAGTGATACATACTGTTGAGTATGTCAATGTCGATTATTCTGTGCCAAACGTCAACTGTCAATTGTCAAGAGATATTAATTGACACAAAGAGTGGAAGTATTGACTTTTTACATTTCGACATACTTTTTTTTAACGAAAACAGTCAAATTACATCTATTAAAGAGGGTATACATAGAATATGATGATTTTTTGACGCTTATGAAAGATAAAGACGAATACTCTTATGCATATCTACCGTTTGCAACTATACCAACACTTATACCGTCCAAAATTGCAACTATAACTAACTACAACGACCAATAAATTTTTTATTTTGATTTTTAATACGGAGTATCCGAATTTTCCTTGAGCCAGTTTCGAAATATGACGAAAATTATTTAAAGAGAAACTTTTTTTTTATATTAACGAAACTTGTCGGAATCGTCTACGTCACTTGTCAAATTTGCAGATGTTTATTTGATATCTATCAGAAATGTTGACTGTTTATTAGTAAGTTTTGTATTTAGGGTGGCTGTAGAAATTAATATTTTTTTGAGGTTATGTACCATTTTTATCATTTGAAGAAACGTTGTCAAATCAGTAAAAAAATCCCGGAATTAGAGAAATATAGATATAAATTTAATTATTTTCAACGAAAATTATCTCACTGGTAATTTAAATATGGCGATATTTTTGTTGAATCATTAATTTTTACTTAATTTCGGATAAAATAAAGAATGAATATACAGCGCGTTTACGTAAGTTGGATACATATGAAATACTTTTTTATTATTAGTTTCATTAAAAAATGTATTTATAAAAAATTATGTATGATCTAAAACCTAAAATACTACCATCAGATATCAAATTTTATCAATCGTATACCAGGTTTCTCAAAAATTAAGGTACTTTGCTCTTGAGTAAAATTTATATTTTTTGACGTAACTCGTATACGACTTAAAAAAATTAATATTTGACAGTTGAATAATGGGTTCTAGACTATACATAACTTTTTATAAAGAATACATTTTTTTGATAAAATTAATAATAAAAAAGTTTTCCATATGTTTACATAAATTAGTGACATATGGAAATTTTTTATTCATTTTAGAAAAAAATTTCTTTGTGAAAAATTATTCATTACTTCAACCTAAAATTCAATCATCTGATACCAAATTTTATCAGTCGAATACTAGGTTTGTCAAAAATAAAGTTAATTTACTTCTGAGAAAAATTTATATTTTTTGATGCACCTCGTATACGACTCGCAAAATTTAATATCTGATGATTGAATACTAGGTTTTAGAATACGCAGAACGTTTTATAAAGAATACATTTTTTTGATAAAACTAATAATAAAAAAGTTTTCCATATGTAGCTATTAACATAAATTAGTGCCATATGGAACTTTTTTATTATTAATTTTAGGAAAAAAAGTTATTCTTCATAAAAAATTCTTCATGACTTAAACTCCAAAATTCAATCATCTGATACCAAATTTTTTAAGTCGTATACGAGGTTTGTTAAAAATTAAAGTACTTACTCCTGAGCACAATTTATATTTTTTGACGCACCTCGTATATAGCTCAAAAAATTTAATATTTGATGGTTGAATTTTAAATTTTAGACTATGTAGATTTTTTTATAAAGAATACATTTTTTTGATAAAACTAATAAAAAAGTTTTCCATAACTTTCATTGACATATTATAAGACTATTTAAAATTTTATAAAAAAAAGGATTAATTATAAAAAGTAATTGTGGTAAATTTTCTTAAAAAAAAATATAGAAAAATTAGTATTTTTTTCAAGAAAAATGTATTAAAAAATCTCAAGTTTATAGGTTATATGCACAAAACGCTCATTTTAGTTTTTCAATTTTTAAATTCATATTAAAAAAAATACAATCGACCTTTTTGAACAATTTTTTTATTAAGTCAAAAATAGAACTCGAATAATTCATTTTTTAAAATGATATTGTCCAAATGTTGTCCAATTTTTCTCCTAACACTCTTCGACAAGTTTGCTCCATTTCTGCTCAAATATTGTCCTTCAAGTCCCTAAAATTGCAATAATTGCACTACCTTTAAGAGATCTCTATAAAATAAATCGCATGGGATGAAATCTGGACATCGAGGAGGCCAATTTAGTAGGTAATAAGCCACTTTGGAGTCTCCCCACTACTCCACTTATTATCATCCGTTTTTCAACGTTTTTAGCGCTTTTGATTTTATTTTAAATCTTATAACGTCGAAAAACATTGAAAAACGTTGAAAAGCATCGAAAAACGTCATTTTAAATCTTATAACTATCTTATAACGTCGAAAAATATTGAAAAACGTTGAAAAACGTCGAAAAATGGATGGTAATAAGTGGAGTGGTGGGGGGCTCCCAAGTGTCCCATTACCTACTCAATTTAGGTAGATAATAGACAACTTGGGAGTCCCCCCACCACTTCACTTATTACCATCCGTTTTTCAACCATTTTAGCGCTTTTGATTTTATTTTAAATCTTATAACGTCGAAAAACATTGAAAAACGTTGAAAAGCATCGAGAAACCTCATTTTAAAACTTATAACTATCTTATAACGTCGAAAAACATTGAAAAACGTCGAAAAACGGATGGTGTTAAGTGGAGTAGTGAGGGGCTCCCAAGTGGCCCATTATCTACTCAATTTAGGTAGGTAATAGGCATCTTGGGAGTCCCCCCACCACTTCACTTATTACCACCCGTTTTTCAACGTTTTTAGCGCTTCTGATTTTATTTTAAATCTTATAACGTCGAAAAACATTGAAAAACGTTGAAAAGCATCGAGAAACGTCATTTTAAATCTTATAACTATCTTATAATGTCGAAAAATATTGAAAAACGTAGAGTAATAAGTGGAGTGGTGGGGGGCTCCCCCAAGTGGCCCATTACCTACTCAATTTAGGTAGATAATGGGCTACTTAGGAGTCCCCCACCATTTCACTTATTATCATCCGTTTTTCGACGTTTTTCAACGTTTTTAGCGCTTTTGCTTTTATTTTAAATCTTATAATGTCGAAAAACATTGAAAAACGTTGAAAAGTGTCGAAAAACGATATTTTAAATCTTATAACTATCTTATAACGTCTTAAAACATTGAAAAACGTTGAAAAGCTTCAAAAAATGTCATTTTAAATCTTATAACGTCGAAAGTCTTTGAAAAACGTTGAAAAACGGATGGTAATAAGTGGAGCGGTGGGGGGCTTCCAAGTGTCCATTACCTACTCAATTTAAGTAGGTAATGGGCTACTTGGGAGTCCCTCCACCACTTCACTCAATTTTTCGTCGTTTTTCAATGTTTTTCGACGTTATAAGATAGTTATAAGATTTAAAATTACGTTTTTCGATGTTTTTCAACGTTTTTCGACGTTTTTAGCGCTAAAAAACGTTGAAAAACGGATGGTAATAAGTGGAGTGGTGGATGGGATTCTCAAGTGGCCCATTACTTACTCAATTTATATCTCCTCTTCGATAAATTATGTATCCAGGAAAAGGCCATTCGAAGTGTAACTGTGGAGCTTCATCTTGTCGTAATTAGATTTCTTGATTAAATATTGAAGCCCAAACTGTCACCTTTTGGCTATACAAAGGCTTCTGATGATTTTAAGGTTCATTTCACACCAGTATATATGTGAAACCAGTAGATTTACTGAAAAAATAGTACATCTGGCTATAATATCAATAGAATATATGTGTAAAATTAGTAGATTTACTGAAAAATAGTATATTTAGCAACATTGGTTATGGACTTAAGTTTGTTGATCAATAATTTTTATTACATTTAATATTGAAGAGTTTTTTTTATATTTTGTAAGAAAATAATTCTTATATTTAATTCTTATGATATTTTTCAAAAATAATAATCACTTTTGGCGTTTATCGAATTTAATATTGAATTCTTATCGAATAAATACACAAAAGATGCTAAAAAAGATTTTAGATTCATTAATATATATCTTGCAACTTCTCCTTTTTGTCTTATAACCCAAACATTTTGAAATATTTAAGGAAAGAATGAAAAGCGACGTGGCAACGTTACATTTTTTAATAGAATCAATATTACTATACAGAGTGAGCAATATTTAAGTTTCACAGCCACCTTGAATTTAAAATGTTTTTAGTTTTAATGGAATTTTTATTTTCATCTTTCAAAAATGTTTTCTGTAATGCTGTAATGAAATTCTGGCTTATATTATTTTAGAATCTTTTTTTATTCAATTTAAATTAGAATTTAATTGATTTTGCGAATTCTGTGACAAGTAATTCCGATATATATGAATTATTTTTAAGTTATCGTCCGAAAACTGGTTTGTGCGCATATGGCATCTTCTTACGGATACTCTGTAATTGTATTTTTTTTTTCTAATTTAAACTAGTGGCTTAACGAGTGATTACTGTAAAGTAAATCCTATAATATAAATACGTTTTATTAACAAAATACGTGTCTAAATATATATTGTATATTATATTAAATAGAGTCCCTATTTTGAATTTTTTCGAAGCAATAGTTTGGCACTTAAGGACCAAATCGTTTTACATGTACATGTCTACAATATTATATACACGCATTCCAATGGATAAAATTTAAAAAAATAATGTATAGAATTTAGTATTTTTATTTGTACGAGGTGATCCAATAGTTAGCCATTTCTTAAAAATAAAGTGTATTAAATTTGAGAAGTTCTTCATAATCTTCGAGGATTAAGACATTGTTGGTTTGTTGCGTCTTAACTTTATGTCCTTTAGTATTTTGGTGTAGGATTTGAGGCTTTAGACCACAAACTTGTCTATAAATGAATATAAGCATTTTAGACAATTTGATATTACTATAAATGACATATTTTGACTGTTAAACCTTCTTACATAGTATTTTAGATAATAAAATCGGTTCGGTCGCATTGTTAAGTTTTTCTGTCTCTAAAATTTGTCAAAATAGAAGATTTTCCCTCGACAATGATGATATGAATTTTTAA